GGAGAGCTCCTGCCGCGCGTCCCTTCGGCTCCGGGAGCTTCGCCGAGCGGAGCCCCATCCACGCCTCCCGGGCGCCTGGTCGCAGACGCGGGTCCGCCCCGGTGGGCGCGCCCGACCTCGCGCAACTTTCTCAGGACTTTGCGGAGATGGTGGGCGGGAACCCCTGGGGCGCGCACCGGGGCTCTGTTCAGTGTCTTAGGTGCTGGAGCAGAGAGTCAGGAAGCCGGCTCCAGACTTGTTTTTCAAACATGTTGTTACTCGTGGTTCGGCTCCGAACTTAAAAATGGTTTCTGCAGCCCCGGCCGGCTGGGCTCGGGCGTAGAGCGCGGGCCTGCGGACTGAAGGGTCCGTGGCTCGGCTCCGGCCAAGGGCACGTTGCGGGCTCCATCCCGGTTGGGGGGCGTGCAGGAGGCAGCCAGTCATACGTCGCTCACATCGATGTTTCTCTCTCCTTTCCACTCTCTCTAAAAGCAATGGGAAAAATATCCTCGAGTGAGGGTTTTTTGTTTTTTTTTAAAGTGGTTTATGTAGAGTGTCCTTCCCTGACTCCTGAGGGTTAATCATTTCCCCCTAATACTCTCCCTAAACAGGCTGTACTTTTCCTGCCCAGCTCTTACTCAGTGTGATTGTTCAGAAACAAAACAAAACAAAAATTTGTTGGTAGGTGTGTTTCTTTAATGTCTGATTCTAGGGCTGATTTCAAAGGCATGAGATCCGATGGGGGTTGCACAGGACCCCTTCTCCTAGGAGGGCCCAGCACTTGGTTAAACTCTGCTGTCCTGTCTTGAAATTCTTAAAAGTTGTTGAAAGAGGGGCCCCGTTTTTTCATGTTGCGCTGGACTCCAGCAAGTCGTGTAGCAGGTCCTGTCCATGCCTTCACCAACCTTCATGGTTTATAGGGCCTGGCAGTGCAGACACACAGTAGATACAGGTTTCCCCCACTATCTGAAAGTTGAGCGTTCCTATGAAACCTTTGGTAAGCTCAGAGGGCAGAAAGCAAAGAAGCAGTTACCACTAATTTATAAGGAAAGTATTTTCAGCATTCCCAGATCCCCAAAATAACCTGCCAAGTGATACCAAATAACACACAAAGCCTAAAATAACCCTAACATATACTAAAAGCAGGAATGATAGGATAAATATACACCTGACTTTGTACACCTGTCAGTCCCCTAGCAGCTAACTTTCCATTTTATCCGTTACTGGAGAGACCACTTGGCTGCTAGCAGAACCAAGAGTAACTTCAGCAGCTGCCAGGACTCTCTCTCTACATGTAAATAGTAGAGAGGTAGACACAGGCAAGTTCAATGCAGGCAGTCTTTATTTCCTTCATCATGATCAAAATGCTTAATTATGTCCAGTTTTATGCTAAGCCTAACACCTATGAACTCTTGGGCTTTTCTGATACCTTAGGACGCATCCTGCTGAGGGATGCTCACAATAAACCGAGATGAAGGCCAGGAGCTCACAGACGCAGTTCACAGCCCCGGGGGCTCAGGGCTGAGATGCTGAGTGTAGCTCCAGAAGGAGCGCGGCAGGGCCACTGTCGCGGCTGGGGGCCCCGGCCTCTGTAAGGGCTGCCGCCAAACAAATGCTGACCCGTTTTCACTTTTCACCTTTTTTCATAAAACTAAAAGTCATCTTTTGATTTCTTTGTTTCCTTTAGCAAAAACAGGCACTAATAGGTCGTTCGTAACACAAATGTTTGAAAAGCAGAGGGGTACCCCCCCCAAAACATTGGTTGAGTAAATGAAGAAGAATGCAGGTCCCGCCCGCAGGGCCAGGCCTCCCTTCTCCCTCCTTACCCCGCGGCCCGGGACATGAAAGGCGCATCCTGTTTCTGGATGCTGTTGTCAGCTCTGGGTGGCTTCCCTTTCCTGGAAAGATAGCCTTGCGATTCTTTAGGGAAGGAAAGTGTTTCCATTTCTGATAACTTAGTAACTTGCAGTGTGTAGAAATCTTTTAACTGGTGGTGAATTGTTCCATAAAACTTTCCCTTTGAAGAAGTAAACCCCTAATTTCCACAAAATGTATCTGTGTAGAGAGATGATACCTGTCTGGGTAGAGATGAGGGGATGGTGCCCCCCCCCTTTTTTTTTTCTTTTTTAAAAAATTTCCACCACTTCTTTCCTCTCCCCGTTTCTTCTTTGGTTGGAGGTGGCAGCAAGAGGGAACGTTCTGCTAGCTAAGGCATTGCCCTCTGGCCTGAGCCCCAAGTGCGGCAGGTCGCCCTGCATGTCCACTGAGCCTTCACCCTGTTCCTTCAGCTGCTGTCAGCTCTGGTCACCCCTCGGCTGCTTCTCAGCTCTGCTGCCCTACTGACTTTGCATTCCTTTGGTTTCTCATTGGTCTTTATGATACCAAATCCAATTAGGATTTTCCACATCTATACTGAGAATCACCGGATACTGGGTGTGACCTTGAAGTTTCTGTTTTCTCATTCACTGAGCAAGTATTGATTGAATCTTTTTTATGTTCCAGACCTGAGCCCTTCATTGGGGGCATCTGCCCATCTGATTGGTCAGATTGTGCTCTGTGATCAGTGGCTATTGCTTTTAACCAAAAAGGTGGGCTTTTTACTTGGATTCCTCTTGAATCTGGTGCAATCTGGAAATGTGGGCATAATTCCAGAGGGCCAAGGTTTTATTGCAATAGCATTTCAAAGTTTAATTATGTGGCCATATCTTGCCTGCATGTTCACCCACTGAGATGATGACTGTAACAAATAAAGTGCTTACTCTGTTGTTCCTCTAAATTCTTAATTTAAAATGTCTGATATGGAATTAATGTGACTGTCATTTTTCTCCATTCTTAACCTTTTTCTGCAACTGTTGTACAAAGAAAACAGGGCAGTGTAAAATGAGCTGAAATGATTTATGGGAATGTTTATCGGAAGCAGTGGGTGTAATAGAAAAAGCACAAAATTCATGCTTATCAAAATTCTTGCTTATTAAGCAAATCTCTTAATCCCTGAGGTGTCTCCATCTGTAAAATGCGCTTTTTGTTATTTGTCTGTGTCTTGAAGTCATTACAAGACTCAAATTTGACCAGGTATGTGAAATCATTGTACAAATTATACTGAGATTCCATTCTGGGTGTTAGACCCCAAAACCTGTAAGTTCGTTCCATTTTTCCAAAATCACTTGCCTTGGTAGGAAATAAAATAATGCTTACATTATAAAGGGAAAGCCTAAATAATGTATATATTTCTATTCTAAAACCATTCTGAACTATTCTAAAACTATATATTTCTTATTAATCACAATATCACTCATAATTCAGAAAAACCGACTTTATATTTCAAATGCATCAAAATACTGAAATATTGAAAAGCCCATATGTATGACACATATGTATTCCTCCCCCAGGGTAGAATTATTGTGGACTTTTTATATTTAAGATTTCTTGTTGTTACTCGCCTGGCTATATCTGGCGTATATACATCTGTGTTTTGCAGAACCCTTTGACTTTGGAGTCAGTGAAACAACTCGTTGCAGAAGGCAATAAAGAGGAACTGCAGAAATGTTTTGGGGCTCGCATGGAGTTTGGGACAGCCGGCCTCCGCGCCGCCATGGGGCCCGGCATTGCTCGGATGAACGACCTCACCATCATCCAGACCACACAGGTACCACATTTTTATATGTCTTAGTTATTCTTAACACCCCCCCAGTGTTAAAAGATAAACTGAGGCGTATTAAGATTTTAAGAATTTATCTGAGCACAGACCCATTTGAACTGGGCAGCACCAAACTGGAAATGGTTAGAAGCTCTCCACTGACAGGAGCTTGGAGAAAGGCGGAAGCAAAGCAGGGAAATTAATAGACTGGCTACAGCGCAGGCCATTCCCTCGTTTGGGAAAGCTTAGGTGGCCATTTGTCCTTAGTTGTCCTTAGGTTTTGATTTCTTGACCTTGAGTCATTTGCAAGCTTAGGTTTTGGTTTGCTCCCTTAGGCTGTGAGGGCGTCAAAGCCACCTCAGTCTAAAGGCCTCCTTGTTTGATTCATTTCACCCCAGGCTCCCTTTGGGTTTGGCAGGCCGAATTTGTTTTAATGACGGCCAGGCCTTGTGGGTTTGTTTGGGCATAAGAATCACACATTTACTCCATAAAGTAAGGCTTTCAGTTGGTTAATGGTGGTGGTTTGCCCTGGCTGTTTGGCTCGGTTGGTTGAGTGTTGTCCCATTCAATTCCAGGTCAGGGCGCATCCCCAGGTTTGATCTCTGGTCCAGGTGTGTGCCCATTGGTGTTTCTCTTTCTCTCTCTCTCCCCCTCTCCATTCCCTTCTCTAAAATCAATACAAACAAACAAACAAAAAACTTTTAGAAAAAGCAGTGCTTGTTTCAAAACTCACACAGCCATTCATTCATTCATTCATTCATTCATTCATTCATTCATTCAACAGATTTATTGAGTGCCTACTATGTGCCAGACATGGGGAACATAATAATGACTAAAACAGATTCATGGGTCTCTCATTCCAGTGCAGCTTCACCAGCTAAGCTCACTGACCTTTATGGTCTTCTATAGTTTTTGTTGTAGGTGTACAGATGGAAGCGTTGAGAAGCTCTTCTAACTGCCAGGCTTACCGAGAGCCAGTTCTATTTAGGTTTAATGTACAGTATGGGTGGAAAGTATTGCTGAGTGCCCTCGCCTTCATTTGTGAGTTTTACTGTCAGAGTCTAGACCAGACTTTTAGGAATAGACATGAAGCCTTTAACAAAATAGAAGAGCTATTTATGAAGGAAATGAAGGAGAACAGATTCTTACGTCTTCAGTTACTTAGACTTGTGACAAATGAAGGACACTTTAATTCTGGGAAAGAAAAGGCTGGAAAAATTGAATGTGGTGACTATGTGTACCTTACGTGTACCTCCCAGCATAAAAGGCAGTTGGACACATTGTAGCAAAACCCCCATAGGACAAGTTACTAGGGCTGTAGAACAAATCACCCAAAACAGTGATTTTAAATAGTTAATTTTGCTCACAGATCCGCAGTGTGAGTGGAGCTCAGTGGCGACGGCCAGTCTCTGCACATAGTGTTACCTGGGCCAGCAAGGAGCCTGGAGTCACCTGGAAGCTACCCCCTCACATGTCTCCAGCTATTGCTGGCTCTTGGCTGAGATCTTAGCTGGGGCCTGGGCTTCCTTACAATATGGGGCTTGGGATAGCACCCAGAGAGTGTGTGTGCCAGCTGGAGGCTGTATTGACTCTTACAACCTTGTTTTGGATGTCATCCCAAATCACATACTTCCACCATATTGCGTTTGTTAAAAGTGAGTTAGTAAGGCTGCTCATATTGATGGAGGAGGTATGTAGACACCCACATCTCATTGGAGGAACGTGAGTGTCACATGAGAGAAGCATGTGGGATCGGAGATACTGGCGTGGCCGTCTTCGGAAAGTTCAGTTGGTCACACGTCCAGTTAGGCCTAATGGTAGGGGATTCTATGGGCTTCTCAATGAACATAGAGTCTTTTCTGCATTCATCTCCATCTAGTTTCTAGGAGTGATGCAGTCTATCCCCAGAAAGGCCTTGGGACCTGGCTCAGACCTCCTGTTCCCTGGAGGAGTTGGTCTCTTCTGGGACTCGACGCAGCGGTAGCTAAGAAGCCTACAATACTACGACGAGCAAATCCCTTTAAGGTCTCGTACAGTCAGCTACCCCGGCATAGTCTCCCCCACAGTCCCTTCCGCTCTGAAGTGCTCACCCAGCCCACATTGGAACACTGACAACAGGAGGCGGGGATGTTAAGAGTTAAGACAATGTCAAGAGAGCAGCAGGGCATTTGCAAAATCGAGGAGTGGTTTCCAAATTAGACGAGCAGGATTCCCAGGACAAACACCCCAGGCTTCCACTCCCAGCCTTGGGTAAGTGACCTGGCGGAATGTGCTGGCTTTCACTGTGGCCTTGGCACCCGGGCTGCTGGTCTCAGGTATCCTCATGGTGCCCCCAGATTCATCTGGTTGGATTTAAGACGCAGAGGGATGTGAATCGAGAACACCCCAATGGGAAACAGGATAGAGACCTGTTTCAGGTACTGTGCTGGACACTTAGTATCTAATATCACTAACCCCAGATCAACTTTGCCCAGTCCCTTTTACAGATGGGAAAACTAAGGCTCAGAGAGGCTCAGCAACTTGCCTTGATACAGGAGTAGCAAAGCCGGGATTTGTTCCCCAGCTCTGGTTAGGGGGGGTTCGGTGCTGGGTTACAAGCGCACAATGTCTGTGGGTCTGGACTCCACCCTGCCAAGCATACAAGCACAATGTCTGTGGGTCTGGACTCCACCCTACAAGCATAAATGACATGTTCCTTAATCTCTTGGTGCCCCAGTTTCCTCTTCTGTGCAACAGGAGCAACAGTTGTACCTACCTCAACAGGCTGTTACGAGGATTGAATGAGTAAAAATATGCCAAGTGCTGAGAATCTGACACCAAGAAAGTTCTATGTGGTGTTGTTAGGAGCATTATTTTTACTGTTATTTTCCTTCAGAGCCTATATTCCTTCTTTTACACTAGTTCTAAGTGCCTGAGGATGGGGGGTGTTTCAGATATTTTGGCCTGCTCTGTACCAGCAGCAGGCCAAAGAAACCCAATACCTTTGATAAGATTTTGACAACTGACTGATCTAACGTGTTCTGTTTGTTTGTGATACTGTTTTTCAGCAGGTAGAGGTCTTGAGGAGGCCATATCAGTCCAATTACACGACACAGCCAATTATACAAATAAAAAGTATGCAGAATGTGGGCTAGTACACCTGTCTAGAAATGACAAAACACACAATTCCCATACCACAGTGGATGCAGTGACACCACTTCAATCGGCAATACCAAAGATTAGAAAACACTGGACTTTGAATTCAACAGGTTTAGAATACTGGATAAACAGGTTTAATCAGAGAACAAAGGTTGGCCAGGTAATAATGATGGTTCATATTAGTTATTTCACTTTGGCTGAAGGAAATCATTTTGGTAGGGAGGACACTACCTGCTTTGTTGCCAGAGGAGAGCCCATTTAGAATGCCTTTAGTTTTCCCAGGCCAAAACTATTGCATTGGGTATATCTCCTGGGGTTGAGGGATACAAAGAAATAAGAATACTTGTGTGTTGGTTTTGTGGGTTCCCCAGAAGGAAGTGAGATGCTCCCAGTCTAAGGCTTACAACAATGACAGCACCCTCTCCCCATCCTCGGGCCACTCCTGTGCTGTGGCCCCGAAGTTCAAGGGGGCAAAAAACATTCAGCCTTAGTCCAAAATCCTCATGTCTCCAAATTGTTGGGAAAGACTCTGGAGCCAGTTGAGACTGAGGACCCGAGAGAATAGCTAAGAAAAGACTAAGGGTGGGATGAGGGGGTTTTCAGAATTGTAATGTTATCCCAGGACTCAAGAAACAAACTCTGTCTGGCTTCAAGAGGTCAAACTATGACCAATATGTAAAAGCTACGGAAAGACAGATTTTGACTCAAAATAATGAAATCATTCTTTAATGACAACAGTCCGAAGATAGAATGGCTGTTTCAGAAGACAGTGAGTCCCCCCATCATTGATGTGTCATGGCTCGGTTCAGTAACCTCAGAGGAAATTAGAGCCTCTACGAATGAGGCATACACTACAAGAATTTCCCTCCGGCCAACAATAATTAAAGCTTTTGTTTTCCTGTTGTTCAGTTTGTTTACTGAGGGATTTTTACCCTCTTGGCTACAATGTTTTCTTGTGGAAGTATAAAAAAATTGACCAATTTATCATACACATATCATGTGTTAAAACATATATACTCTTAATCCATGGGGTATTTTTTTAGGGATTTTGCAGATACCTGGAAAAGCAATTCAGCGACCTTAAGCAAAGAGGTGTCGTGATCAGCTTTGACGCTCGAGCTCACCCGGCAAGTGGAGGCAGCAGCAGAAGGTAAAGATACTCTGTTTCTTTGTAGTGTATTTTGTGGTTTTATTTTTAGTCATCATATCAGTAGCTTGCCTTTAAGAAACATTTGTCAGCTACATTGCTTAACTACCCAAAATGATTAGTAAATTCTGTTTGCAACTTTTAAGAATTCTGGTTTTACATTTGGGTTAAAAAAATGAAATTATTTCGGCAATTTAGAAAGTAATACATGTCTAAATGACAGAACTTTTTTTAAGTGGCAACTTTGTTCCTCCTCTTCACTTTCTTCCTCTTAGGTAAATTTTTTTCTTCTGCTATTCAGAAGCCTCATGAGCTCCTTAGTGTTCTTGAATGCCCATTTCAGGCTGCGTTCTTGGGACATTCCCAAACCAATGAGACCCTCTCTTATGTAGCTGTAGGAAGATGATGGGGATGGTGATGGTGGTGATGACAATGGCAGTGATCATGGTGGTGGCGATGATGGCGGTGATGTTAGGATAGCAATCGCTTGAGCTGAATTCGAGCTAGGCACTTAAGTATTTACTCATTTAATCCTCACAATAACCTGTAAGCCTTGTAAGGCAGGTTAATTCCTTCATCTCTTTGCTCTAAGATCACAAAGTGAAAGAAGGAGCCACAATTTAAACCTAAAGAGGCCGGCATCTCTAAAGGGCAAATAGTAAACACATTGTGGGTTGTATGTACACCCTCTGCATAGCTACTGATTCTGCCATGTAGCACAGAAAACAGCCACAGGTAGTACATAACCGAAGGGGCATGACTATGTTCCAATAAAACCCAATTTACAAAATGACCTGCAGTTTGCCAACCCCTGCTCTTAATCATGTAATGTGACCTTTTTTTTTACTTGAATACCTCTCCTATTATGAATTTTTTTATCACTCCAGAGTATAAGTAGTTTTTAAGATTGGAAGAACAAACAAATATTTAATGTTAATGAAATTCTCGTTAACTCTGCAGTGCTGGATGAGTTCACAGAGTCCTCCTAATCTTTGCCTTTCGGGAGCTTGTAGTCTAAGAGAGAAGCATTAATAGGGACAAATGTTTGGCTCTGAGGAAGGGAACATGGCCCAGGGCCAAGGACTAGATAACATCAGCCCCCAGATTGAACTCAGGATGACCTAATATTTTTGTTCTTCAGCTGCAGGCTCAAAAATGTGATTTTTTGCAACAGGCAAGAGAGAAGCTGTAGCTCTCAGAGATAGATGCACATGGACTACATTTACAAGAGAGTGAAGTACAAACCAGAATAGCAGTTTGTCGGTTTTCAGTTTGTGAACTTACAGTTAGAATTAGATCATACACATGCTTTACTGACCCCATGGCAGGTCAGATCCTCTAGCTAGAGCATGTTCAGTGTATATATGTGGCTGACTCTGCCTGTTTGGCCTCTCAGATTTCTTCATTTTTTACCCTGTTTCTGTTTGACACATCCTTTAGATATGTTAACATTGTCAGTTAATGTACAGATACTTCTTGCTGTGGCCTTGGAGCCACATTATTTCCAAGAAGTAACTGATGTTATTAATTCTACTTAAGTTTACGGTTCAGGTTCCAGAGTCAGATGGGATACGATGGAGTGGAGCTCAGGGCTGCTATCACCTACAACATGCAAGCATTTAGAGATTGCACTCTGAATATTAAACATGGCAAAGCGTTCATGATCAGTCACTAGAATCTTCTCAAAGAGTTGGATATTACTGTAGTCTCAGAATTTTACCTAACATTTATTCGTTCTTTAATCTTCTAGCTTTAAATATCAGCTGGGGAATGTAAGCTATAACTGTTAAGCATATGCAGAGAACACATTGAATTTTTTTGTGCACATTTGTAACTTAGTTCATACATGTCATGTGTATAATCATTTGTACAGGGTGGGGCAAAGTAAGTTTATAGTTGCTCGTATGGAAAATAATGCAATAATAAATAATAAATAAGAATAAACTGTGTATCACATACAATGGTAAACCTACTTTTGCCCGCCCTGTATGTTGTGTGTCTCCTTTGCCAACGTTAAGAAAGCGCCTTTAAAGTCAGCCCGACACATGATGAATGTTTCATGGGGGTGAAAGCGACTTCCGTACCATGCAGTCTAGTAAAAACAGCTTAGATTTAATTCAGATTTTTATTAAACTTGTTTTTGATGAATTTTGTTATTTTTATGACTCTCTCCTACATAGAGACCTTTTTTTTTTTTTTGTCAAAGTCATTCCTATATTACTCTTTTTTAAATCACTTCCGATTTTTTTTTTTTTTTAATATATCTTTATTGATTTCAGAGAGAGGAAAGGAGAGGGAGAGAGAGAGATAGAAACATCAATAATGAGAGAGTCATTGATCGAGCCCGCAACCCAGGCATGTGCCCTGACCGGGAATCGAACCCCGATCGCCTGGATCCTAGGTCGACGCTCAACCGCTGAGCCACGCCCGGCCGGGCTCCTATATTACTCTTGATCCTGGGGATTTTCAGTTGTTAGAATGCAGAGATCTCTGGTGCCCCAGCCAGCTCCCAGAATTTGGGGAGAGAATGAATGGTTGGGTGAATTCTGCAGTGGTATAATGTTGTTCATTGGAAGTAAATTGATCATTTATTGTGGTAAAGTGTTTTCCTCCAAGCAGTAAGAAAGACCTGATGCCATGGGCCCTGTCCTACGCCTGTTGCTGTAAGAATAAGACAAAGATGTCAGTGACAAAGATTTAAGCCTTTTAAGGGCTGAATGGAGCCGAGATATGTGTATGTAATGCGTATATATGGCGTACATACATTCGCCAATGTGCCTTGTATACGCCAGTAAGATAACATGCGATCAAATGCTAGTCTGCGTGGTCTGCCCTGGATTGAGGTAGCGTTAGACTGGTTTCTCAGTCTCTGCACTTCTGACACGCGACCTCACGCCGGACCAGACGACCCCCTTTCGTGGGGGACTGCCCTGTAGGGTGTTTAGCACGAACTCCCAGTAGAACCTTATTCCTACCCCCAATGACAACCAAAAGTGTCTCCAGGTATTTCGGGTGCCCCATGGGGGCAGGACCTCTCAGCCGAGAGCAGCTGAGATAGAGCGGGAGTGGAAAGGCTCGGGTGTAGGCCTGGCTCGGCTGCTCGGTGGCCACTGGACACGGGGCACGTTGTCTGGCCTTTCTCGGCTTTAGTCCCATTTCTGTGAAACGGGTAGAATGAGGTGACCCCAAGGTTCCAGCTGTGATGTTCTATGCCAATGGAAATGTATTAATGTTTTCCTTGATCTGGCTGCTATACTCAGTCTAAAGAAGTGGCCAGCGTTCATTTCCTTCCCTGCCGTTGCCTACGGTCCTGACCGCTCTAACCCTCCTTTCTCCCTGTCCCACTGCCCCTCCAGATTCGCCCAGCTTGCTGCAACCACGTTTATCACTCAGGGGATTCCTGTGTACCTGTTTTCTGATATAACCCCAACCCCTTTTGTGGTAAGTAACTGGTTCATTTTATAATTTCCTGTCACAGGGCTGGGAATGGCACATGGCTGAATTTTACAGGCTTTGGTGCTTTTGGGAGTCAGGTGTTTGAATGACACAGAGCTCCTGGCATTTACTGGGCATCATTTCTTCTCTCCAGGAATGTTTCTGCCACATCCTAGTAATATGTCTCTGCTATCCAACTTTTGATTCATCTGAATTGATTTTTTTTTAAGTGCAGTTTTCCTTTTGCTTGTATTTAAAAGATATTTTAGCTAGTTAGCAAAATGTCTTCTGTTTGTGTGTTTTTTTCATTTGGTTTGTAGTTCTTTCCCCCAGCTATCACAATTAGGAAACCTCTCGTGTCTAAATCTGAATTCACCTCCAACCGTGTCTTACCATGAATATTTTTGACAAGTTGGACCACCAGCTTTTTATGCAAATGGACGCTCTAAATATTATTCATGGCCAGTACAGAAAGCATGCCTGGCATGTTTTAGTAAGATTTGTATCAAATACTTAATGCAGCAGAATCTAAAGAAAAGGACCATAGGGACTATGGCAGCTGTTGTTTTTAAGTAGATAGAACTTTTAAGAGTGGAGCCAGATGCTATGAATATATTTTTTAGAAGTTAAGCCAAAAACATGATTTGAATGCAGCTACTTACATCAAGTGGAAATGAAAGGGTACAGATACGGGAGAAGTAATGCCCATTGGTTTGTGTTTACTGTCTCTAGTGCACTGACAGGTAGATACAGCACCTTTGAGGTTGCAAATAATCCAGTGGACACTCAGTGTCATATTCAAATGTGTTTCAGGTTTTATTGTTTGATGGAAAAATTGCGATGTTTTTGAGCATCCTTGGTTTTCTGTACTATGTAAGTGTTAATAGTGATTATTCTTATATCAGACATGAGTTAAAGGAGTGTCATGATTATTTCCCACTCCGTGGAGTCATTCTCCCCTTTTCCTTGCTCCAGGACACATGGGGGATGTGAAATAGCTGCTAAGGAGACAAATAACCTCTGTGATGCTTAATGGGAGGGTGGAGGGGACGGACGGATGGTTAGAATGTCAGGTTGCCTGTGTGTGGAAAATCTCATGTGCAGCCACAGAGGGGACAAGCCTGCCCCCCTCCCCATTCTGAGAAGTAGTCTTGTAAAGATGGGAACCAAGTAGAAATACAAGAGAGGGAGATTTTTTCCTGGAGCGGAAGATAAATGAGCAAGATATAATCTTTTTCTTAAAAGCAAGTAGAGGGAAAGAAGAGAAGAGAAAGCAGTTAGAGGAAATAAATGGAATCTATAAGTTTCTGTCCCAAGAAGAAGGCTTAAAAGAATGTGAAATGGAAGATTAGAGTATTTTACGGTTTGGAAAGTTTTCTAGCTCTACCAACTAGAAGTCAATGAGAAGAAGGCACCGGAAAATATTCTCCTTTCTCCTTAGGGTACATGTCCCAGGATTTTGAGCAGTGAGTTAGATCTAAGGGCCATGAGAGGATGCTGCCTGGGTGTGGCACGAAAATATTGAAGGACACCTTATGATATTTATATATTATGTTTATTGAAAGGGAACAAATGGGTACAAACAAACAGTACACGATGGACATTTTAAGTATGCCTAATGTGTTGTTTAAAACTCTTGTTTCCTGCTGTGGCAGCCCTACACGGTGTTGCATCTGAAACTTTGTGCTGGACTCATGATAACTGCCTCCCACAATCCCAAGCAGGATAATGGATATAAGGTACTTTTTAATTTGTCTGTCCACATACGTGTCCTTCTCTGTGAAGCCGAAGCCTTTACAGTTTGGGAGCACAGGGGGTGGGTGCTCTTCCATTAACCCTGCACCGTCCGCGTCTGTTCCCCTGCCGCCCAGGTCTACTGGGATAACGGAGCTCAGATCACCCCCCCTCATGATAAAGGGATTTCTCAGGCGATTGAGGAGAACCTGGAGCCGTGGCCTCAAGCCTGGGACGGCTCCGTGATTAACGGCAGTCCGCTTCTTCACGACCCGAGCGCTGCCGTCACGAAGGACTACTACGAGGACCTTCGGAAATACTGTTTTCACAGGTAAAGGGGCTGCGGGCTCCCCTCTGGTGCCGGCAGCTCGTGTGATTCGGCCAGACTCTCAGTGTCCGCTTCCGTTGCTACATGTACTGTAGCTGCGTCTGATTGTAGAAGCCGTAGAATGGGGACGGGTAACTTCCCTTAAAAGATAGATTGTAGATATGTTTAGCTTTGGGAGCCATATAGACTGTGTCGCAACTACCCAACCCTGCTGTCGTAGGAAAGCAGCATAGGTGATGTGGGAATGAATGAGTGCAAACACAGCTGTGTTAAGAAAAAAAGTTTATTTACAAAAGCAGGTGGCTGGCCCATAGGTCCCCATCTGTTGACCTCTGTTGTAGTCTTATATATATATGTGAGTGTGTGTGAGTGTATACATATATGTGTGTGTATATATATAAAACTTGCTGAAAGGTGTTGAATAGGAAACACTGACTTTTTTTTAATCTTTCTAGAAATTTTCTGTGCATATGCAAGGATATGTATGTTCCACTTACTTATGCATGCAGTGATTCTTGTATGTGCCCTGACCAGGAATCGAACCCACAACCTTGATCTGTTAGGACGATGCTCTAACCAACTGAACTACCTGGCCAGGGCCTTGCGTGTGTGTGTGTGTGTGTGTGTGTGTGTGTGTGTGTGTGTGATATATTTCTGTAAATAAGACCATAAACAGGAACATACTGTGTGTGTTGTTTGTTCTGTGCCTTTTTCTCCCAGTTAATTTGTCATGGATGCCTTCTCTGTTAGCCACTGTTACATGACACTTGTTTTTGTAATGTCTGCTGTACCCGTTTATTAACCCAGTGACACAGACTCAGTAATGATCATGAAATAAGAAGCAGACGAGCGAGTCACAGTGTTGTCCTTCTACACTATGCCATGGGCCCCACCACTCCTGATTGTCCCCCTAGCAAGAAACCACTGATTTTCCAGAAGTGAAATTTCTAGGTTGTCTCTAATATTGTGTTTATTAGACCACCTGAGAGGGGAGACTCCTGTGTAGTGCGTGGAACCCCAGTCCCACCTGAAGGGAGCAGCCCTGCCAGCTGGGTGTCACCATGAGCAAATGTCCACAGTTGCCCGGCCATCTGATTTTTTCTCCCTAAAAGAAACTGAAAACCTAGATTTTGTTTGTGAACTCTCCTAAGTTTTAAATGTTGGGCACAAATAAAACACTTCTGCAAGCCTTCCTTCTGTCCCTCTGGTTCTACTTCACAAAGACTGAGGGTTTCCACCTGGCCAGAGTAGCTCAGTTGGTGGAGCATCGTCCTGGGCACCAAAAAGTTGCCAGTTTGATTCCCAGTCAGGGCACGTACCTGGGTTGTGGGTTCAATCCCCAGTCGTGGCGTGTAGGGAAGGCACCAATTGATGTTTCTCAGATCAGTGTTTCTCTCTCTCCCCTCCCCCCTCTTCTCTCTAGCATGACCTTGGGTGAAGATTAAAAAAAAAAGACTAAGGGTTTCTAGTTTTGGGGCTACTCCAAGGAGCTCTTGAGCAGTTACTGGTGTGTGTGTGTGTGTGTGTGTGTGTGTGTGTGTGTGTGTGTCTAAGGATTTCCATGTGTATCCTTAGGTACATTTCTGGCATCAGAATCGTAAATGCATTGACAGAGTTGATAGTGGTTAACAAATTGCTCTCCAGAAATGTTACACTACATGACACTCCCACCAACAGTGTACGATCCACGCATTCTTGCCTACACTGAGAATTATCAAACTTACGTTTCCCAATTTGCTAGATGAAAGTAATATCTCACTTTATTTGCATTCTTATAAATAGCTATTTTTCATGTTTATTTAATCTGTATTTTTCTATGTATTTGTTCATTTTTTGCATTTGCAAAACCTCTTTGCTTCTATAGAAAATGAGACTATTATTTTCAAATATCATTTTCCTTTCCATTGTTACCTTTGGACTTTCTCATTGACTCTTTTTGCTGAACTTTTGTAAAAATTTGATGTTTATCAGTTTTTTACTTTATGACTTCGGGGTTTTGTGTTATACTTAAGAATTCTTAATTTATACCAAGGTTATAAAAATAAAAATTCCCTCCCCGTTTTTTAGACTTGCATGTTTAAATTTTTTAATGTTTTTAAATCTTTTGAGTCATTGGTGATTTTTAAAAAAAATATGTGTTTATTGATTTCAGAGAGAGGAAGGGAGAGGGGGAGAGAGAGAGAGATAGAAACTTCAATGGTGAGAGAGTCATTGATCAGATGCCTCCTGCCCTCCCCCTACCAAGTATCGAGCCGGCAACCCAGGCATGTGCCCTGACTGGGAATCGAACCGCGATCTCCTGGATCCTAGGTTGATGCTCAACTGCTGAGCCACGCCAGCCCGGCTCGTTGGTGATTTTTAATTTTGTATGAGATATGAAGTAGAAAAGCAATTTAGGTTTTTTTCCTAAAAGGCGTACAGTTGTGCCAACATATTATAAAAGATAAGAATCTATCCTCCTTTGACCAATTGGAAATGTTACTTTATCAAGCAATTGTTAGTACTAATTGAGCGTGCATTATATATCAGATAATTGCTGTCGGCTGGTACCTGAGCCTAGTGCTCTTTCTGTTATCCTGCCCTAGGTGTGAATGCTGTATCTTAAACTCTGACAGTAATCAGATTTGCTGAAAATAACTACAGAGTAAAATTTAAAACTCGAATATATTGGGAGCAGTATTGTATTTGGGAGGAGTTTTTTTTTAAATGGCATTAGTCTTGTACATTCATATTACGTTGATGTCTTACATCCTTAGGGATCTGGTTTCTTGATATTTGTAAGCCTTCCAGTTTTGAGAGTCACGTTTGTGTATTTTACCGTTTTTCCATGATGTGTGTGATTCTAGGAGTGTGAACAGGGAGACCAAGTTGCAGTTTGTGCACACCTCTGTCCACGGCGTGGGCCACAGCTTCGTGCAGTCGGCTTTCAGGGCTTTTGACTTTGTTCCTCCTGAGGCTGTTCCCGAACAGAAAGATCCCGATCCTGAGTTCCCGACAGTGAAATACCCAAATCCCGAAGAGGGTAAAGGTGTCTTGGTAACCTAATGTTTTTATTTATAAAATTTGCCTCTTATATTCAAAACTGTGACTATCAAGTAAAAATAAGGTTTTTTTACGTGTTTTCATTGTACTGAACAAAAGTAATTTCATCATTGGAAATATTTATTCAAATTAGATATCTTAGCATCAGGATATGAGGGTTGAAATCTAAATGTTTTAAATTTAATTTAATTTAAGTTTAAGCTACTGTGCTTCCTTTGTGCTAAAAAGAAACAGTAATAGAATGGAAGTGTATCCCACAGTTTTTATTACTTGTCATTGTTCTGATAGGAAAAAGTGGTATTTAAATTACGGTTCCTTTTGCCTTTTTAAAGGGTAGGGTAACAATGATATTCAAAGAGTCAGTTTATTTTGGTTGGTTTGTGAGGTTGGTCACACAGGAAGCCTAGAAATACCAGCCCAGCCACACACACTGTCAGATGTGGAGAGAACCCCAAGGGCAGGCTTGGGTCATGCGCTGATGCTCCGATTATCTGCCCTGGTGTAGTAAGAAATACGTGACCAGCCAAGACCAGCTCCAGAAATGAAATTCAGCTTTAGTTTGGGGAAAGTTCTCCTTTAGTTCTTAAATAGCTGAACTTTTTAAAGACTGCGTTAGGCTTGATTCTTGATTGACGTATTATTTTTTCTGCTCGTTTTCAGACTTTATCTTTTGCCTTGGCTGACAAAATCAAGGCCAAAATCATTTTAGCAAATGACCCAGATGCTGATAGACTTGCTGTGGCAGAAAAGCAAGACAGGTACAAATTAATTGTGATTACCTACATAATAGAAAATATAAAGGGGTGACATCTTGGACAGTAAAATGTTTCTGGGGAGACTTGGACCTATTTGGAAATATTTCCCATTTATTTTGCAAACAATCATCTCCCTGAATGTCTGTCAACTCCTCATAGAGCAAGGCGCTGACGCGGGGGCCACACGATCACTCTGCAAGCACAGTGCAGAGTAAACCCACCCAGGGTGCCCCTGGACTTGTAATCCTCCCTCATTTTATCGCTGATTTTATGATAATTAATGACTCGGTGCCTAGAGAGGGCAAAGGACTTCGCTTGGTGATGGCTTTACAGTTCTGTAGTTGCCAGTGGGTTTGGCAAGGAGCTGACCTTCAGGGAGGTGCTGAAGTTATGTTGAGCAGACTCGAGGGGAATCCCTGTGGAGCACAGTGTCCAGGCAGCTTTGACTCAAGTCTGTAGCGAGGAGTGGGGGGCGGGGGGGATTGAAAGTTAGGCAGGCATCAAGCAGTTTTGGGTGTCCAATGGCATATGTGATGTTTCAGGGGTAGTGGGGTGCTACCAGAGGGTTAGAGTTTTAGGTTATGATAAAACAGGTTCAGTTCTGTATCAGTTTTTAGAACGTTAAGCTAAGGGGATACGTGTTGAAGTGTGAGATGTACGTCTAGCCACGTGAACCACAGAGAGGAAGCTAAATCGCACGTATGTTTCTGGCGTCCTCACAGTTTTAGCATCGAGCTCAGTCTCAAGGAATGTTAAGCTATTGCCCTCTCAGGCTCAACAATACTGGCCAAAAATTAAGACGTACACACTGTTAGACTTGGGGGGTCTTGTCGGCATATTTCTGTTAGGTCTTTGCTGAAGACTAAGAAAAGCATTGTGTGTCATCCCCGACATGCTTTTATACGCTCTTCAAAGATCAGATGTTGGTCTGGGCAAACTGGCTAAGATGTGGCTGTTGCTCAGACCTTTGGGAAGTGGCAGTCACATTTCTGGCCAGTTATTTAAACAAAAATAACAAGGACAGTCTTCCAGAAGCTACTTCGAGCCTTGTTTGTGTCATTGCCCTATCCCCAGTGACCCCAGTGTCTCTCTGAAGATTGCAGCAGTGCATGGGTTGTTTTCTCTTTCAGTGGGGAATGGAGAGTGTTTTCAGGCAATGAGTTGGGGGCCCTCTTGGGCTGGTGGCTCTTTACTTGTTGGAAGGAGAAGAACCGAGATCCCAGTGCCCTCAGAGACACGTACATGTTGTCCAGCACCGTCTCTTCCAAAATCTTGCGGGCCATTGCCTTAAAGGAGGGTTTTCACTTTGAGGTAAGGTGTTGGGGGGACGTGGTCTTTCCCCTCCCTTTTGCCCTGTCGGCGGTCTAAGGCATGCCTTTCTCTTTTGGATTATCCCTTCAGGAAACATTAACTGGCTTTAAGTGGATGGGAAACCGAGCCAAACAGCTAATAGACCAGGGGAAAAATGTCCTATTTGCATTCGAAGAAGCTATCGGTAAGAAATGATGTGGTGCTCATAGAATTCGTTGACATACAGATTGCAAATGTAGGGGAGAGGACGTGAATTTGGGGTCAGTAAGTTAGTGTGAACCAGGAGCACACAGTTTGCTTTGTGTCTGTGGCATTCAAAGACCATTGAATGTCCTACCCCTAAATTGGCATCTCAGATTTCTTTCAGCTAAAAGAAGTATCTCGCAAATAACCAAGCCATTAATGTAAGAAAGTGAATCCTTTCCCCAGGTGACTGAAGACAGGGATGTTCTGCATGTGGCTGCTGGGAGCTTAAGAATCCACATATTTTAGGAGTTGTGATGTTTCCCCAACCGTGGTGTTGATATCCAGGCCCAAGGCACCTCCTCTGAAAGTGCTATGTGGTCTGTCCAGAGGGAAGGAGAAGGCACGGTTGTGGTGCCTTAATCAAAGTGACTGTCATCTGAAAGGACAGCCCCAAGTCCCGCCAGGATGACGGAAGATTCACTTGTCTTAAACTGTCAATAGAAATGAGCAGAAAGGAGAGCGAGCTGCAGAAACCTGAAATTCAGATGTTGTGCTGGGGATATTTTAGCTATTTGTTCAGTAAAAGCTATGACACGTTATACTTACAACATAGGCAGGGTGCACTCGCAGTGTAATAAAGGAACTCACCCCTAAGCGTGTGTGTGTGACGTGTTTCTGCAGGATATATGTGCTGCCCTTTTGTTCTGGACAAAGATGGAGTCAGTGCCGCTGTCATAAGTGCAGAGTTGGCTAGCTTTCTTGCAACCAAAAATTTGTCTTTGTCTCAGCAGCTAAAGGCCATCTATGTTGAGTAAGTTTCTGTTGATTCTATTTAATTGAAGTAATATGTTTTATTAGTTTCAGGTGTACAATGTAATGATTCGATATATGTATATATTGTGACATGATTGCTACAATAAGTCTAGTTAACATGTATCCCCACATGTGGTAATATTTACAATGTATTATGTTGTTGTGTATGAGATACTAATATCCTTTCTAATGCTCTTATTTTAGTTATGAACTCTGTTGCTTATGAAAATGAAACAAGAGATTATCTTTTCCTTTTGATACTTAACCACTTGATAGTAATTACCATTTGCCATGGCATTAATCTTTATTAAATGAGAACATTACGCAGAATGTGATTTTAAGTGTCTGATGCCAAAAAAGATTAAATGTCTTCGTGAAACATCTCTTTAGTCTTTATAGCAGTTACGTAACTCTGCTTTTGTAGTGCAGAAGCAGCCAGACACAATACATAATATAATGGGCATGGTGAGCTGTTCCAGTAAAATTTTTACTGAAGGCTGAAGGCAAGATAGGGGAGCAGATTGGGGAGCCTTGGGGTAAATGGTTGTCCTCTTTTTTAATGCTGAGTTATTCCTTTGAAGCTAGTCATGGTTTGTTTCATTGAGTATTTTAGAATGTGCTGGTTGATGCCCATTCTGTGTACACTATGCAGAATTCTTTGTTCCTCATTTTGCACATATTTGTATTTGTTTCGATAGGTATGGCTACCATATTACCAAAGCTTCATATTTTATCTGCCATGATCAAGGCACCATTAAAAAATTATTTGAAAATCTTAGAAACTATGATGGGAAGAATAATTATCCAAAAACTTGTGGCAGATTTGAAGTTTCGGGGATTAGGGACCTTACCACCGGCTATGATGATGGCCAGCCTGATAAAAAAGCGGTAAGTAGTGTCTACTTCCATCAAACTCTTCTCTGTTTACTTTCTGTTACACTTTGAAAAGCTTCACATGTATCACTGTGATATTGTGATTTATAATAAATATATGTTTGGTCTTCGACCCCCTTTCTGGCGCAGAGCTTCTAAAATCCTTAGAATTTCGTAAGTGATGAGAACATGAAGGTGTCTTATGTTATGTTGATAAGGTGACTTTCGGGGGCTGGTTGTCAGGGGAACCCACCAGGTGATTAGAGAGTTGGAACTTTCAGTCTCACTCTGACCTCTAGGGAGGGGAAAGGGGCTGGAGATTGAGTGTAATTGCCGGTCGCCAATGATTTAGTCAACATGCCTATGTAATGAAGCCTCCATAGAAACCCAAAAGGACAGGGTTTGGAGAGCTTCTAGGTTAGTGAACAGGTGGAGATTTGGGGAGAATTGCGAGCTCAGAGAGGACATGGAAGCTCCTCCCTCTTTTCCCACACGTTGCCCTGTGCCTTTCTTCCATATGGCAGTTCCTTACATCATTTTATAATAAATTAGTAATTTAGCACAGAGTATGTTTCTCTGAGTTGTGTGAGCTGCTCTAGCAAATTAATCAAAGCGAAGGAGGAGGTCTTTGGAATCTCTGATCCAGAGCCAGTTCGTCAGAAGCACAGGTGACAACCTGAACTTGCGACTGGCATCTTAAATGGGGGGCGGGGAGGGGTTGCAAGACTGAGCTGTTAACCTGTGGAACCTGATGCTATCTCAGGTACATAGTGTCAAAATTGAGTTTAATTGTAAGACACTGGATGGTATTGGAGAATTGCTTGGTTGTGTGGGGAACTCCCCCACTCAATCTATTGTTGGAATTGGGCACAGAAACATTTTAATCATCTAATTAATTGAAGCTGATTTTGGGGCATTTAAGCATTATTATAAATAAGCTATCAAAAGTTAAAAACCGTAGGCTAGAACTAGAAGGGTTCTCACTAGTCATCTCAGCCAGCGCTGTCATTTAACACATAAGGAAATCAGTACTTGGAGGTGCAGGATCTGCCTGAGGTCATACAGCTAGTTGGTGATGGTCGGGTATAGTCTGGGTCTTCTGATTCCAGATCCTGCTGTTCCTCTTTCTTGGCAGTTCTCAGTCTTGAACAGCATCAGATCACCTGGCCACCTAGTTAAAATGCCAAGTGCTGCAGCTCAACCTTGATGTTGCTGATTGAGTAGGTCTGGGGTGGGGAATAAGAATTTGTCTTTCTTACAACTTCCTGGCTGATGCTGATGCCACCGGTCCAACTTGGAGAACCACTCTTTGCTTCCTACTTAGTTTTACCCTAGCCTCTGGGTGTCTGGTAGCTGCTAGCTGTAAAGCGTGAGACTGCATCCTTCCCGCCGTGTGGATCCCACTGGGGCCAAAAGAAAGCTCAAATGCGGCAGAAGAGTGTTGCCAACTGCGGCACGGAAGGGGAAGGAAAGCATGAATGTCCTTATGAGATGTTAGATGTTTTCTTGAATATTTATCTTTCTGTATATTTTTTATTCTCATCTACGCACAATATATTTTTAAAAGATAAATAGTATTAGGAGTTACAGTGAAACATGGCAGCTCCAACCACAGCCATCTCATTGCCATGCGTCGACAAGCACCTCCCCTCTCAGTTTTTCCTTCCTGTCTTTACAACCAGGTTTCTAAACACTGCTCAGATGGTGATGTTTTCACTTATCTGTATTAGGCTTTATTAATTTTCTGTTATGGAGATAAGTAGTTAGTTCTTACGCTTCCTGCATTCAATATTCCCCTTTTCCTCCTGTCCTCAGTACATTTATAATGTAACTTTGGGTGACATCAGATTGTGCGCTGTATTGTTAGGACTAATGACTACTGTTTCCTGCTTAGTTCAATAGTGCACTTTGATTAGGTTCCCCTAATTTGTATGAAAAATTGTTTTTCCTATAATTAATCATTGCTTTGTTGTTCTTGTTTTCTTTTTTAAATATGTCTTTATTGATTTCAGAGAGAGGAAGGGAGAGGGAGAGAGAGAGAGAGAAGCCTTGACGAGAGAGTCATTGATCGGCTGCCTCCTGCACGCCCCCTGCTAGGGATTGAGCCCGAAACCTGGGCATGTGCCCTGACCGGGGATCAAACGTGACCTTCTGGATCGTAGGTCAATGCTTAGCCACTGAGCCACTCCAGCCCGGCTGCTTTGTTCTCTTGATTGCTTGGATTTCTGTGTAACTATCACCAGTTCATCCCACACCTTTCAAGTACCTCTAGGGTTTCCGCAGGGTCCAGTGATTCGGCCAGAGTCAGTCAGTTCTGTTTTGTTCCCATTGGCTTCCCTCCAGGTCCCTCTATCAGGGCTGGGCCGGCTGCTTTCTGGTTTGGGGTCATCCTGGGAATGCCCTTTTTCCTAAATCACACCCTCTAGTAGCTTCCTGAGAAAAAGTGAATGGGAGGTAAATTTGAGACATGTAGATTTGCAAATGTCTTATTCTACCCTCCGACTTTATTGAGTCACAGTTTTGAAAGCATTGCTCCATTATGGTTTGGCTTCCGGTCTTACTGTTGCGCC